CGTATAATTATAAAAAAATAAATTTAGACGAAAATGATATAAAAATATGCAGTAAACTTAATAAAACGAAACAATATTCGAAACATTATCGTTCAATTATAATCTGAAGAGATAAGACTGGTAAGAAACTATAAGACTTGAAGTCAACAAAAAGAAATTCGTGAACTTCTGTTCAGTTGCACAACTTTCCTACTCATCATTCACACGTGTTACACCACGTTTCCCCATAAAAAGGAAACAATCAAGAGTATGTAAGTGATCCGTAAATCTACAGTATTCTCATTTCGCTACCCTTCTTCGACCACGTGTCTCTCTTCAGCAGTTCACAATCACGTCACACGTTACTCAATGACACGAAGTCAACGAACCTCGTCGATGACGTATGAAGAAGTCGCAGCCGAATATCGATTCGATTCTAATAGAATCCCAAGCAATTGCAAAACGGCAGAGTCATCGGTATTTTGTAAAACACAGCTTAACATCATCCCCTCAATACCAAGCGGATTCCTACGAATATCAGTCAGATGTATGGGTATTTTCGTTTTTAATCTCAAGATAAGACGCATGCAACTTAAAATAAGCGAACTTTGGTCACTGAACCTGTTCTAGGGTTCAGCGCGGAATCTTGAAACGATGTTGACGGTGTTTCATCTTATTTTAGAACGCTGATAAATGCGGAAAAGGCAATCGCGATCGCGCCCTAATACCATTATTTATGTAGAATATCGGCATTCTATCATCTGACTGACGTTTATTCTCAAGACTCGTAGAACTCGAACGAGATACAACTTTTCTATTCACAGTGCCTAACATCCTCAAAATGTTACACTTAAGGGTTGCTGTAAATTATTATGCTGTTTGTTATCTGAAGAACATGCTACCGCGAGAATTTATGGATTTCAAGGGTTGTACCAGTGTGAATTTATCTAGACATAATAATGTCGGTGTTTTCTCTGCGATAAGAGCAAACATCGAATCAAGAAACAGCTTCGAGTTGAGACATCTCTTAAAGTCGGTAGATATAGAAAGATAACATTTTGTTTTGGCACGGAAGTGCAGAGTTTTGAGTTCGCGTTTACGCTACTAAAGTAGCTACGCTAGTAAAGTTGTCAATTACCGTTTGACACCATTATCAATGAAATAGTATGATAAAAGAAACAGATGCTGTCCGGAAATATTTGATTGGATACGCAAGCAACTTTTATTGGAATTAAATCATGATCACAACAGTTTTTCATGGACATTCAGTTTTGTTAAAATGTATCCTGTATTCGACTTTTTTAAAGTAATAAAAACATTTTTATAATACTAATTCTTCAACTCAAGAAAAGGGTCTAGCCGGATAAAATGGTCTAATCGATCCTTGATTCAAGTTCAACTCACGATCGAACATTCGATAGTGTATTCAACGAAACCATTTCATGCCAATTTTCAACCCCCTATTTCAATCTGAAGTATCATACAATTTAATATTTTGCTTGGGTGCATACAAGAAAGGTATTCCAAGCTTTATTATGTTGTGTTCTTTTATATTTGCTCCGGAAAATATACCTACGAGCAATATCTTCACATCTCTTGCACGTTGCGGAAACTAGATATCTGAGAAATGAAATCTTCGCCAAGGGGTGTTTTTCGTATTTTCACGCAAGCGAGTAATAGGAGGTGCTTGCGAGGGGAAAAATGGGTCTATTTAAGAAAGAAACTCCGGCAAATAGACAAAGTGAGGCAACTTAACGAAACTGTAATAATTTCTTAGACCTCGTGTTGTGTTTATTACATGCAGCTATGGATAGTAGTTCCTACAACTGTGAACCTTCGTAATAAGCTGTAATCCTCGTGAAATAAGTCGAGTTTTAATGAAAAAATGAAAAAACTAATCCGGCACGATTTTATAAGATATTTTAATATTCAGAATTTGAAAAAATCACAAGGATTAGCCATAAAACCTAAATTTATTTTTTACGCTTTCTTTTTCATATCTCAGAGATATTGAGAATTTCGTTTTACTATTTCTGAAATTAATTTGTTCCACATTTATAAAGATAAAAGCCGAAAATGCCTCGCAGATGATTTTCAGCTTTTCATTATGCGAATCTATAATTGGGAAAACTTTGTACTCCGTTTTACGTAACCGAATTCGTGGAAACGTGATAAAGCGGAAAGTATTTCTCACTCTCTACATCGTAATTCTCGTTCGATATTAAGAACGAAGAATGAAACATTGGCCTTAGCTCCTCGCGAAAGTGGATCCTCACGTCCTAAGTCACTCATCGTCGTTACATACGGTGGTACAGTAGTGTGCAAAAGTTTCCACTCAGAAATATTTATCACATTATTTTTCCGAAACGGTATAGAAATCGGTATTAATGATTATTAATATTATTTAATATCCAGAAATCTTGAGAAAACAATGGAGTAAAATAGTTTTATTTTTTAATTTAATAGTCATATTAAGTAAAAGCAAAAGACAAGAGTTACAGAAGTAAATTTTTATTAAAAGTGACACACACTTACTCCAAGTTAAGGTTTATTTGTAATTTAATTTATTTTGTAAAACAGTCCGGTTAGAAACTTCTAAATAGGCAATTTTAATAATTTCATACAAACAATACATGCAGAATAATAAATACTATATAATTGTGATACTGTTTCTGTTCATTTATCACAGATGTACACTGAATAATAATTAAACTTAACTGCGTCTGCATCATGCATCCAAATATTGTTAAATACTAAAAAGAAATTTTTTTCAAATTTTTATTTAACTTTTGCTCACTTCTGTATATCCATTGTTATTACACATTGACGAGGATATAATAAATAACATTCATAAGCTTCACGAGAATGGCTGTCATATAAAATCACCGGTAGATAATTTTACGCGTTTCACTGATCCGGTTTACTTTGGCCGCGGATCACTATTTTCCTCCTATCATCATCGAAATACCATCTCGCCTTCAGAATTCCAGCACTGTGTTTGAAGATGTTCGAACGAAATCGACAACGCAAATCTGCTCGGGTCTACGTGTGACTAATCAACTCCACAGCTCTATAATCATCGTTTCCCTTTCTGCTACCGTATGCTTTACTTTACTTGTGAAGATGAGCTCTATCACATTGCATATTTATGGCATGTGCGAAGCATTCGAAGGATTCCCGAGGGTGGCTACTAACAAGAGGCTTATATTTTCCATCTTTCCATCCAATTTGCTTTGAATCTTACGACTGGTTATGACCTATTTCTAGACCTGCTTCATCCATTTCCTCTTTGAGTCACGAATTTTTACAGACACATTTATGGAACACAAACACCATGCATACATATAAGTTTTTAGGGCCTCTTATTAAGAATCATAAAAATTTCAAAATTCGAAATAGCAGATTCAGTATGACGGATAAAGTAGTTAGATGAAAACCAAGCTATGTATACTTCTGTTACGATAATATTATATGAGTAGTAGAAGTTATTTAAATTATGTCAAAAGTTACACTTCGTATGAGATGAGGTGAAATGTTTCAATACTTTTGGACGATGGTATACATACATATGTATAATAGTGATAATGATAAAGAGTCATTACTTGTGAAGATAAAACTAATTGAAATATTACGTTCAAAACGCTATATTATATTACGTTACTGGCATTGCATGTTGTAAGACAAACTTTCTATAGGATTCTGTGTGTATCTGACATGGTACGTGCGCCGATACACGTACTGTAAGAAACACATCCTCCAATGAATGACCATTCAGTGCAGAAGTATGGTTTCCATTAATTTCACTGACCCTGATTCGCCGCCGTCTGCCAAAACTCGAATTACGTGATAAATCATTCAAGGTTCAAGTGATACGAGGACTGACAGTCACGTACTCAAATCTTTTTTTTATTCACTAATTAATTATTCAGTTATATTATTTTTCTATTACGTAAAATTCGAACGAGAAGAAACGTGCTTTCAAAAAAGAGGAGAATCGGAATGTTTCTCAGCGAAATGGATTATCAAAATCGAGGACAGTGAAATTTAACAAGAGTACCGTTCGAAAATCGAACATAAATACTCATAAGTATTGTACATTTACGCTCAATATATTTAAATGTCAGGCTTAAAGTATTGAATGGATGACGATTCGTAACGATTGAAAACAGCACAGATGTGTCACATGTTGGGTCATAATATGGGTCAAAAATTTTTACAACGTGACGTATTTGAATTCAATTGTATTCAGTTTCGATAAAGTATCGCGCATGTTTCACTCCGAAACCGAACGCGAACGTAGCCCGGGACGAAAATTGATTATCTAATTAGCTGCGTTCGTGATCACGTAGATCTTTCTTGGAAGTAGTTTAAGGACTTTCCAAGAGCTATCAGCTATCGGTTATCATTATCGTGGGAGTTTCGAGGTACACGCGTTACATTCACGATATCCCTAATAGGCAAATTTACAAGTATTGTAAGTTGGAAGTGTTTGTTCATTAAATAATATACAATGAGTCATTGTTAATTATTTAGCTCATTTGTGTATTTACAGAAAAATAAAAGTTACTTCTGTAGAATTCTGTAAAATTTCACTTGTAAATGAATTATTTTGTTCGTATTATTAATGAGA